AGACCTGGACAAGTTAGAGGAAAGGGGGTACTCTCAACTGCTATCATGCTAAAATAAATAATGGCTCTATGATCTCTTTAATAAATCAGGCCCTTCCCTCTGTTTTTGTGGACATGTTTGGAATTTTGAGAGTCCTTGTTCACTCTCACCAAATGGCTAATGAAATGGCCATTCATAAAATCCATCCCTTCCACTGAAGTCATAACCAGTTTCCATGTATCCAAATGCTACCTGCCACCTTCTGCAGCCTCCCCTACTGCAGGATGCTCCATGTGACTACTTCTTTCCTGGACAACTGGCTCATTTGCAGATAAAACCCTGGGCTGCAGCCAGCCATCATTTATATTTCCTAAGAACACTTATGGGACCTATTGGGGCCCTAGAGGCATTGCTAGAAATAGAGTGTTTGGAAACTAGGGCTCTGCTCTGCAGCATATCATCATCATCATCATCATCATCATCATCATCATCATCATCATCATCATCATCATCATCATCAACAATCTGGGACAAGGAGCTGGGGAAACCAGCTAGTATCCATGACTATGGATACTTTGGTGCCCTGCTGGACACCATTTTGGAAACCCAGTGCTAAAGTAAGAGGAAAGGAAATCAATCTTAAATGAACAGGGGGAAGCAGCAGTCTACTGAGCAAAGGAGAAAGTGACCTGTTGGAGGAGTGCCTGAGATACAAGAAAGAGCCACCCAAGAAGGATTCAAACTGCAACATCTCTCTGTAGGATAGCCAAGAAGGGGGAGTATCTTCACTGAGAAAATGGTGTGGCAGAAAGGCTAAACACTATTCCTCAGAACTGCAGACCCAATTCACACAAACTTCAGAAACTATTGTACTGATTTTATTTGAAAAGTCTGTATCTGCTTTTTCTCTGAGAAGTAACTTTTGAATTCCACAATTCTCTTTGGGGAATGTAAAGAGATGAGAGGTCCATTTGTGGATCACATAACCTTGCTAATTTGGCCTTATATAACTTCCCAAGCAGAAGCTGTCTTTTCAATTAGAGGCATGGCCAGTATATAATGAACATATGCCCCTCTCAAAGCAAATCAGCACCAATATGCTCCAGCCACCCAGATGTCCCCTTGATCATAGCCCCCCCGCCTTATCTAGGACCCAGCCCAGAATTAAACCCGTCTTCAGTCATCACTTCATATTCTGAATTTAAAAGGGTTTTGTGCTTAATTAAACACAGTTGAATGTTAATTAATTAAGCCCCAGTACAATAAGCTGTGTAATACCTATGCTACTTAATAACCTCTTTTGCTGCTATGCAGCAGCAGAAAAGAAATCAGGTGGGTTGCTTCTGAATGTTAGCCATATTCATAGCCATATCCAAAGTGTGATCATGCCCCTTTTCTTTTAGTCACCAATTGGCATCTGCTGCCTCCATTTTTCTGTTGGTGTTTGCCTTCTTATTTAGGACTGGGCCCCAGGATGTCCCTGCCACCTCTTTTAAAATCAGTAATTTTACCTGCCCAGAAGCTCTGTTATTTCTCCCAATCCATTTCTCTTTCTTTGACTCTCTCCTTCCGTCTATGCATTCTACAATCACAGCCACCCACTCCAGAAAGGGGAGGCGTTCATGAAGCAATCACGTGTAGAGCTGAGACCTGCCCAAGGAGAGCAAGCTATCTGGGCACTGAGAAGGAGCCTCGTCAGTGGCTCTCTTATCACAGGATTGGCAGTTGTGCCTTCCAGTTGAACGTTCAAATGTTTTGGCCCTACATAAACTAGCAGGTGCTTCTAAAACTAAAGTGGGGAAGAGGTGAAAGGAATCTGGAAGAGAAGTGGCCTTGCACAAAGATGAAATGGCACAAAGGTGAGTTGGAAATGGCATCAATGGGGACACAGGAGCCCTGCTTTTCCTTGTTGCAGCATTTATGCATAGTTTCTGCTCGCAGCTGAAGTTGCTGAAAGAGAAGAGTGACAGCAACAGAAGAGAGGAGTGGTAAAGAAAGGTACATTGGCACACCCACAAATCAGGAAAACACAATTTGGCACAGAATCACTCCCAATGTGAGTGATCCAGATAACCAAATTTATGAGGGTAACTTTTTTGCTGACACAAGGAAGAGTTTATGGTGCTTTAAGCCAGCAGTGGGGAAATGGCCTTCACCTGCCATAACTTGTAAATTGTACTGTTGGCTCGCTCTATTCAGAAATCTTTTCCTAAAATTCTTCTTGTCTCAGGCAAAAAACATTCTGCTTGTGTGTGTGTTGTGTGTGTGTGTGTATAAACATATGTGAGGAATGTAACTCGATCCATTTGTGTTGCTTGTGAACACAAAGAGGCAGATTCTGGAACAGAATACCCCCAAATTCAGAAGTTTGCATAGAGGGCGGGAGCATGATTCCAGGTTGTCCTGGATATCTAAGCACCATGAGCTAAGACAAGGTTTTGTATTAAGAAGAGATCATATGGATGCAGGTGGATTTTCCAGCCCCAGTGGCTTGGAGCTGGAAACCACACTTCTATCTGCACAATCATAAACAGTGCCTCTCTCTTCATAATCACAGCTCTGATATGTTTGCTTTAGGTTTCCTTACACTGGGTATGTCAGATCTAAAGATAAGCAATGTTAGGAAGCCCACAGAGGATTCCCCACAAAGGCCTCTCTTGGGGTTACTCAAGGGAGGAACTGACTCAAATTTAGAGGACCTTTTTGAGTTGTTTCACCTACTTCAGAATCTCTCTTTCCTTTGCCCCACTTTATTCTTCCCTAGACCTGTGCTGCAAGTTATTGCATGGGAAGGTGTCTGAATCTAAGTTTAATTTAGATTCCCTGAACTTTCCAAACAGTAACACGACTTAGGACCCAAGGAAAATCTCACCAAACGGTCCAGTGATCAGTTTGTGAAATGGTCATTCCACAAACTTAGAAGGGGAAACATCTTAATTGTGCAGAAGGAAATAAAGAACCAGGAATGACCTGCGGCCCTTCAGCACTCAGTTTGGGCCCTCCAGGAAATGTCCCCAAAATGCCCACATTTCAGCAGTGTGAATTCAGTCTATTTTGAGATTTTGGGGTAGTTTAGGATGGCAATGAAAACTGTTTGCCTTTGGGGGGGGCTCTTATTTTCTTCTTCCTTACCTCTAAAAAGACCACACTGAGCAGGTGAGTTGATGGACAAGGAGCAAGATAACCATAATAGATTAAACTATTGCCTTGATGGATTGGTCATTTCTAGTTTATCCTGATAAACTATGATTAAATAGTCTCAGGAGCAGAAACGGTATCCATAGGTATCAGTTAAGGAATAAATGCAGCTGGGACTGGGCAGTGGTGTGACTGCCCCATCTGCACCTGATCCCTCACCATGGAGAGATGACCTAGAGTGACAGGAACCCTGAACAAAAGTCTCTCACTCACACCACCATCTTCTGGGGCATGGCGCTGTTTAGCTCTGTACAGAATGTTACATCGCATGTGGAAAGGAATGGCAGATTAACATAGAAAACAGTGCCTCAGAAACAATGTTGTGCATATAGACCCTTTGCTAGTGGAGCTTTGGCATTTCACAGGGATTAGAAACAGAGTCTGAGAATGTCTTTTTCTGAGCAAACCTTTCGCACAAAGAGTTATCTAGTCAGCCCAGAATGCCAGGGATTTAGGAGCAATTATATTTACAGTGCAAGAAAAGGAAGAATGTAAGGAAGAAAGTCTGCATCTTTCACAGAAATCTCTTTTAGGTGTAACAGACTGGTATGGAAATGCAAATTTCACCTAAACCAGTGCAACCCTAGGTGTATTTGCTTAAAGTAAACCCGCATGGGTTCTTCCTTAAAATTACATCCTAATATTTCCATACCACAACAGATCTGGTATCCTGGATAACATGTGGAATAACCTGTGTTTTCCTTTGCCCTTTAAAAAAAAAAATATGGAAGAAACCAACCAAACAAGGCATCTAGGAATGACTGAGTTGTACTGTTTTTCCAGTGCATCCAATTGCTTAACATGTAGCTAGAAAGGATATAGTTAATTTTCCAACTAGTTATTTGAGAGTACTGTTCCCAATCATCCTGGCTTAAAAGCTCCATTGATACAGTGTATCGGTGGCTAAAGTATGACTTCTACATCCTTTTCTGTTCTCGTACATTTATAAACATCATGTCCGTAGTTATTTCTTTACATTATTTGAATCTGGCAGAATTCTGAAGATGCTTTGCATGCAAGTTCAATAGACGGGAGTATTGTAGTTATTATAGGATGAATAGGCATGATCCAACTTTCACCTTTTCTGTATTGAGAAGCCATTGCTGAATGCGTACAGTATTGTCTTCGAATACCAACACAAGAGTTTCCCAGATTGAAAAGAAAATGCAGCAAATGTGGCTGGGTCTATTCCATCTCCCCTCAAATCCATAAATCTCACCCTTCACTTTCACTCACTCTTTTTTCTATTGTGTGCAGTCTGGAGCCTCTTTGATGACTCCTATTACAAAACTGAACCAAGACAGCTGGGTTTCTTTTTAAATTGTTTATTGTATAATATAAAACTACAAAAGTAAGACTGCTCATTTCCATGTAATTTGCCCATTTTTTAAATTATTATTACAGCCCATACCTACAAGTGAATACAGTAATCTGGTTTCAGATGTATATGTCTGTAATATTGCATAGAAAAGGCACAGCTCTAAGGTCTGTTGCGGGATGGGAATGGGGGCAGAGGATGAAAATACCAGCGTTTTGGACAAAACAAGCCTTGTTTTAAAACAACCATGCACCAAATGTATCCTCATTTTTACACCTTTTCTCTTCCCCCTCCCCTGAAATCTCTGCTTTAAGAGTCTTGTGTGGATTATAATGTTAAGCATCTACAAGGTTTTATCTTTAAAAAAAAATTAAAACAAAATCCAAAATTTGCATTAGAATTATTTTTAACATTGAAAAAAAGAAAAGTCTATAAAATGAGCGGAAGTTCCCAAAATAAAAGTTCAGCCATGTTATAAGCATATTAATAAAAGCAAGGTCCTGGATTTTTTTTTTTTTTTTTTAACAATCACAATTACATTCTAGATCCAATGAGCCATTTCTCAGGAGGGTGCACATCCATTTGCTCATGGTTGTTATTCAACTGTAAACTTTAGATTCACAAGTCAGGTTCTATAAGACAATTAAAAAAAAAAAATCACATGGTACAACTTATTCTCATCCTGGCCTCTCTGAAAAGGTAGTCTTAATTCTGTCTCTCACTGTAAAGCAGAGCAACTAGCACCAACACTAATGTTGGTGGCAACAGTTTCCATGTGGGAAGTCTCTCTCCTGCAGGCAACTGTCTGAGAGGGAGAGGAACTTCCGGCATGGTGTCCTTGGCACTGCCTACTGAGTGCCTACAATTCTGTGTCCGAGAAGTCTAAACGCTGCTTGCTCAGAGTCTGCTCTGTGGAGCCAGATTCAGGCTAGACCTTCACCTCATTTCCCAGCACAAATGATGTTCTGAAGAAGGGTGGGAGATGTGAATTTGGGGCTTTGAGTACAGCCTATCATATGTTCACCTCACCCCAAGAGACTAGAACGGCTTCCCCCACAGAATGCTTCAACTGCAGCATTTTACTAAGAGTCTTAAGATCTGTTTGCTCTTCTCTAGAAATACTACCCTAGGAAGGGTGGAGGTTATAGTTAGATCAGATTTTGCCTCTGTGCTGATGAATTGTCTCAAACGGTGGAAACAAGGATCTGCCTTTGAAACCAATACGAAAAGTCTTCTACAGAACATAGCTTCTCAGTATGGCTTACACCTACTATGAGGTATGTCCTTATTAATCCTTGGAAATTTGGTACAAACATTTGCACTGACAAGTCTACATTTTGGTCACTTATCTGCATTCATGGATGCAAAACCCAACAGAAATGTGAATGCAAATGCTTTTAATTGATTTCTGATAGAACGATCATATTCTTCCATAGATTTTGTTCCATATTAACTTCTACCATGTTGCTCCTAGAGGCTTCCTTGTTCAGTTTCATAAAATATAAGTCTAGGGCTGTTAATCTGCAAGCTACATAGCAGCTAGCAGACAAGGAGTTATTGCAAACTGTTATACAACATTACCTATACTTAAACCTAAACCTCAACTTTGTCATGGAATGCCACACGTTCCCTCTCCTACCACTGGCTTCTGCATTGCTTTGTTTTGTCCCGAGAAGTCTCATAAGGACATGCCAGTGGATGTACATATTAATATATAACGCACTGTACATTTGCCATACCTGATCAACGACAGACCACTTTCAACAGTGCTCCTTAAACAGCTGCTTATGCATAATCATTTGAAGGGAAATGGTGACAAGTTATAAACATGCATTTTTGAAATAGGTTGTGTCATGCCACTTTACACTCTCTCTGCAGAAAAAAAGGCACACTTATGTGTAAAGTAAAGGCTAATCTTAGTTTGGTTAATGGACTTTGGCTCCCCTGCCCCTTGCCCCATTTAATTTCCTAGTTTTCAGCAGTAGCAGTTCCAAACTAAAACTGGGGAAAAAATAAATTGCCGTGGTGTGAAACTGAACTGTTTGGTAGGAAAGCTGCTTTCAACCTACATCATCTCCATTGCAAGAAGCCAGCTTGCTCTGCCCAGCTCTCTAGGATGAAACCTGTGGTGCACGCTGCTTCTATGCATCTTGAAGGGAGAGAAATCTTAAATGCTCTTCGTTTGTTCGTCAGCAAACATACATAGGCTATACCGTGCTAACACACATCCCCATTCAGTTCCGGCTACCAGAGTGAGAATATATCACTTTAAGCCTTTAAGACTGAAATTCTGCATATGCTTATTCAGGAGTATGCTTAATTAAATTCAGTGAAGCTTACTTCTGAGTAGACATAATGCAACAAAGTCCCATTGAAACCAAGGCTGTGTTTGGCTGCTTGAAATAGGACCTGGCCCATTTAAAATACCCAACAATACCAAACAGTTTGATTTGTATAACTAAGTTTATAATTTTTTTTGCATGTTCTATAGAATCAGAGCGACTCTCAGTAGAGAAAAGCAGGAGAGGTGGGAGAGAGATCTGGTGAATGACATGTATTCGGAACAGAACCCAGATAATAATCTCCAAATCTAACTTTCAGCTCCCTCTTGTATGGATTTCACATTCCTACAAGAGAATACATTCCTACCATACATTCTGTACATGTTACAATCCAGATGTTGTTAGCTTCACAATAAAATAAATATATTTACAAAAGAAAAATAAAATGGAATAAATAACTTATGAAAAACAAAATGGAAAAATCACTTCAAATTCAAACAGCTTTTTTAATTCTGCTCTCTTCTCGTCACTTCATTGCACATATGTGTCATTAAAAATGCCCCCAACATTCAAGGTGGAATCTGGGGGGTGGGGAAAAGAGGAACAGTAGCCTGGTAAGTTCTGATCTTTTAAGAGAAGAAGTTACATTGTAGAGACAGAAGTATTTCAGCTGGTATTTCTGTGAGGCACTCATCATACTTGGGTGTCTAATTCTGTAGGGTAGAGGTACTATCTGCCATAATCCCACTCATTTGCCTCACAGAAAGTTGAAACCAGGACTGATTTCTGCTCAAGGTTTCAAACGGCTTTCCTTTGTACGTACGGCAAGGTTAGCATTTGAAAAACAAACCTACTGTTCCTCTCTAAAATGGTGTTAATTTGAACTCCTGCCCAACATGTGGTACTTGTTTATATACTCCATTAGCTCATCCAAAGAGGAGAGTATTGTTTCTGGATTACGTGTAAAATCAGATTTTGACAATGGTAAATCTTGTTTACATTTTTTCCTTGACATTTCTTAATTTTAATCTAAATCAAAGACTGTTCCAGCAAAGGCTTGGGATACTGCCATCCTGATTAACTGATTAAAACTAAATTGAGTGCGTTCTAGCATTACAGATATCTGCACCCCAGGTTACCCTATTTGGCTAGTAACATATCAGCAAGCATCTTATTTCATCTCCTCTACCATGTCTGGCTACCATATCTGGTTCTGCAAAGATCTGGACAACCAAGAGGTGGAAGCCCAGAGAGGTTTTTGTATCTCTTTGCTACAATTTAGTGGTCTTTTGGATTTCTGCAGCCCCGATTGGGAAGACCTAATCTTCTCAAGCCCACAAATTCCTAATGAAACTGTGAGTCAGTGTTGTTTTATACAGTACCAGCCATATTCCTAGTGATTACCAGACTAACAAAAGTCTTTGTTCAGGGCATTTTGCAATCTAAATAGGTTGTTATAGCTTCTAGTTAAATTTTTTGAATGTGCCAGCTTTTTTTTCCTCCCCACACCACCAGTAATTGGCAAAAATATGCTTGCTTATAAAGACAAGCAACTTCAAATTCATTTTATGACCACACTGTTATTTGAGTGAGATAGGTTTTTCAAGATAGCAAAATCTGATTAATTTATTAGAGTTTAGTTGATAATTTGGAATGGTATACTTAGTGTAGGCACGCAGGACTCTAATTACACAGATAGTTTGGACAGGAATGAAAAACTGTCTGTGCATTACATATAATAAATTACATGCATTTTAAATAAATAGATATGGCCCGTTCTAAAGTGCCAGTTTATAAAGCTGCCTTCTTAAAGGCAGACAAGACCCAATTTTTAAAAATCCATGAGAAGAAGTGAGCAGAACCAACTGAATATTGCCAAATTACATAAAACATAATTTAAAATTTCTTAAATAAATATAAAAGTTATTCCTAAAGAAGCCATATGCATATCAACAGTATAGTTTGTAACCTGCACTCAATTAAGTACCATTTAAAATTAATATGCCATAGCAATCTCGGCAACAGGCATGATAACATTGCAAGTTTTCTTTAACACAAATGTACATCACAATGAACAGAGAGAAAAATTGCAACAGGTGCAGAAATGAGAAGACTTAAGTGGGGAGGAAACATGCATAGAAGGTTGCAGTTTCAATACATTGTCAAACAGTGTATATAAAGTATAAAGCAAGGAACAGAGTTGAATCAAGAAACCAACCTCCCCCAAAAGATACCAAGTGTTCAAAGCACAACCAGCTCCAGTTTTAAGAGCAATGGATACTTGAGTGAGTCCATCCAGTGCTGATAAGAGATGATTTCACTGCAGTAATACTGAAGTTGCCTTTTTCTTTTTCAGCACTTGCCAACACAGTGAATAAGAATATTAATGTTCCAAGCAAAGGGCAAGAATAATCAGAAGAATGATCAGAAGAAATAAGGTACATTAGAATTACACTGTCAGAGAGACAAAGGGCCTTTTTCCACCCCTGATCCTAAACTCAGTTTCTTGGAAGGAATCTCCACTGATTTCAATGCAACTTACTTTCAAGCTTTAAACAAAATAAAAATCCAAAACAATCAAGCAAAACTATCTGTCCCAAACTGCTACAGCCACAGTATGCTTCCCCTTAAAACTGATAACCACCTAAATTGTGATGTTCTAAAACTAGATGCCATTACTATGGTAATACTACAAGACAGAGTAAAGTACACCAAAGCCCGCCGATTTCTACTGTTTGAATCTGAACAGGGCACTCTGTCAAGGGTGCGCTTACCAAAAAGAAAGATCTTTCCAGGAGCACAACTTTCTCACCAGGAAAGCTGTAAAATATTACAAAGCTGAGCTCAACGGACTTAAGGACACTCTACTCTGTCAGACTAAGGATGGAATCTGTTTTGCAATTTTTTAAAAAGCTTGGTTTGAGGATATACTGTATATTTTTTAATTCTTGATCTTTTTGGAGTGAGGGAAGGGAGAACAAGGGAGTTTCATCAGAATAAAGTTTCACAGCTATTTCCTGCCAACTGTTTGACATCAGTGTTGGAATATACATGGCTCTAAGGTTTTTGTTAATCACAGTAGTAGGCAGCAGGGAGTAAATATCTGTGAAACTTTTAAGGGAAGAGCCCTTGGTCTTTTCCTTCAAGCATGGGAGTCTGGATTCAGGGAGGCCAACTGGAGACTGATTTGATCCAAACTTCTCTTTGCACCATTATATGCATATAAAACACTACAAGTCTGTATAAAACTACAAGCGGTTCTTGTACATCAGAAGGTATATGCAGGAACAGGAAGAGCAAATCCTACCAAAATAGCTATTTCCTTTTTGTGTGTATGTGAGTATAAACAGCATTTTGTTTTGTTTCTTTTTCTTTTTCTAAGAAAGAAACCCAATTATCATAAATTGCAGAATCTATACAAAAATATAAAATAAATTTGGGTAGCAGTTTCTAAAGAGCCATGTAAATGCAACATTTAAAGAGGAATCATTAATACCTCTAAAAAGGCTGAATTGCTAAGTCAACCTAGACAGGGCTAAAATGCCAAAAAGGTACTGCAATTATCTAAATAATATTTTAACCTCTTGCAATAAAACTTATAGAAAAAATAGACAAATATGCACATGCAATTTACAGCTTTTTCCCAACATAATCCTTGTGCTTAGCTTTTACATTTTTTTTGTCAAACATATTTATGTTTTACAATATGCATTTTCTTCCTATATCAGGATTTCAGGTCTCCCTTGAGGAACCACTTTCAGAAATACATTAAAAGTGGTCATACATGAATGAAGGCACTCCAACTCTGCTTGAAGCAAAAACAAGTATGATCCTTAAAAAAAAAGACAAGCAAAGACGCATGCACAGTGGTGTGTGTATTTGCGTGCGTGCATATATGTGTGTGTCTGTATGTGTTTCTTGGTAGGTTTGAAAGGAGAGGGGGCCTTGTGAAAATACTACCAAGGGTTTATACTGGTGCATTTAAAAAGTTGCTATCCATCTATGACCCGACAAGCACCTCCATAATGTGATCCAGTTCTGTAAGGTCCATTTTGAAAGGCTGATTGGGGGTTACTGGCTGGGTACTGTAGGGTGCCAGAGTTTTGAGGAGGTCATCTGCGGAGACAGGAGCCATTTTTGAGGCAGCCCCTGTAGAGGATGTGCAAGGGTCAAAATCATACATAGATGTATCAATGTCTGCAAAGAGAATGTCATCCAGGGTCAAGTCTGTAAGAAAACCTGTAGAAGTTGTGATCTCAAAATTGCCAGGTAACGAGTCCATGAGTTTAGGCTCACTCATTCTGTTCTCCTGTATACCCTCAGGCTTTTGGATGCTGGATTCACTGGAGTTCTCCTTAGAGTTATCTGGCGCAGTTGTATCTGCTGCTGCTGTAGCTACTACTGCCTCAGCGGAGGTAGGTGTTGGACAGAGCTCCTCAATTTCATCCAAGGCTGAGGAGAAACTGTCCTTTACTGGTTGGATCGTTGGAGGTGGTAATTTTGGAGGACTATCTAGTGAGATAGTCTGGGAAGTGCAAAAAGTGTCATCCTCAAGCAGAGAGGCAGGGGTGAGGCAAGACTCCAGTGGTGTAGGGCTTGCTAAGTCAGTGGGGTGGACTGGCGGAGAGGCCAGATGGCTAAAGGCAGGCTGAGCTTCTCGAAAGTTGTCTCCAAGAGGATCTGTAGGCTGCGATGGGGTGATGAACATAGGCCTCAAGCTGCCTTCCTGTTTGAGTTCCTCCTGGATCCGCCTCAACATGTTGTTAATTAAAACAGTCTTTTGCAGGCTTGGCTCTGTTAATGGCCTGTGGTTATAAAGTTTCATAAGGGAAATGTTGAAGATAGTCTGGCGCTGTAAGGTGTAAGACACCTTAGATGGACCATCGGTAGGAGACACCACTTTGCCTTCCAGCCCATCTTCATGCTCATCAAACTTCCGTTTTCCTCCTTTCCCCAACATATATCTGAAAACAGAAGAAGAGAAATATTGACTAGGATAGCCTTCATATCCCACTAATGCTCCCACCAATATTGTAGCCACTCTAGCTCAGCCTTCTCCAACTTGAAGCCCTTGAGATGTGTACGGATATTTTTCTCTTGGAGCTGTAGTCCCAGCATATGGGAGAGAACCAGGCTGAGGAAGGCTGGTTTACAGTCATTTTCAGAAGACACAAAGAAAGCAACCCCAAGTATCATAGAGCCGTTTTTCTTGCCTTTTTAAAAAAGCCATTGTTTATTTAATCTAACTGTAAATTGCAACCAAATAGTGAACTGGAAATCAGACTGAACTGAGATTGTAAACACAGAAAAACTGACTGATGATAAAGAGAGGTGCAAAAGCATCACAGTAAGTAATTGATAGAGAAGTAATCCTGCACTCTGGAATCTCAGACCAATCCTAAGACTTTAGGTACCGATTCATCAGGAGCAGAAACAAGAGAATGTGAATCCAAGAGACTCTTATTCTGAACATAAAACATGATCACATGGACCAGGGATAGGTAACTCACCACTGCATTTCAGAAGCCTTTTGCCATCAAGCAATTTAGCAAAAACAGTAGATCTTTTTCCTGAAAGCCTACCAGGCAGGGAGAAATAGGAATATACGAGAGGTACGGGGAGAAGAAGGTGTAAATGGCATGTCAAAGAAAAACAAAAGGTATAGCTGCACCATTTTTTGGCTCTAGTGCAGAGATGCATTATTTTTGGTTTAAATTATGGTCCATACTTGGCTTTTGAATGAAGTATTGGAGGCTGCACTCTGAAACCACACATAGGGCCATGACAAAAAATAAACTTGAATTCCTTACTTCCTAATCATGTTAATAATTGTACCCTTTAAATTAAATAACATTAAACATTAAATTAACCATTTAGCAGTGGGTTTTGGAGGTGACAACCAATGATTTCAAAGGCTACTTATGGCTCCAGGGCTCCTTCTCTACCCCCTCCCCCCATTTGCTTTTGCTTCTCCTTCCTTAGTACACCCCCCCCCGCATAAATTACCTCTAAGGAAGAAGTAGAAAAGACATACCCACCCTGTCACTAAATATAATCCAATGGCACCGCAACTATTTTATCAGTTAGTGATGGCAATATATTAATAAATAATTGCTGATTAATAGAAGGTCTTGCTCCTGTGACCCTCACAAGAACAGAAAAGTGCAAGAAGTTCAAATCCTCAATTTCAAATGAAATGTGTAAGTCCATCTGAACTGGTGGTTTTCTTGAATGTCACATGAGAGCAAGAGCAGGAAATGCATTTCACATTATGGCCACATGTCAGGGCAGCTACGGTGCAAATGTAAAATAGGACTTTAAGGTCCCAAGCCTGGTCCATTCCCTTATTTCTCCCATCAGTCTTTAACAAATGTTCGTATGAACTGAAGGAATTTTCCAGCTCTGAGGGTTACAGAGAGAATGCTGGGCTGAACCTGATTTCTATTAAGACAGCTGGGATTTCTATGTGATGATTATGGAATGGGGTTTCTTTTTCTAGCCCGACTACAACCTGGTTTTGCTAAAGCTGTATATCACTGTCCCATGATACTGAAGGAGTCCCGATGCCCCTCCCCAGCCCATGCCTCAAGAAGTGAAATAATGGGGAAACTGACAAGGATGCCCTCTGAAACGACAGGCACCTCAAAAGCAATCCATGTGAACACCCATCACTGAATTCTAAAGCATAAGTGGATGTGCAGGTTTCAACACTAGGAATTACTTGGGGATTTTTGATTGTGTTCCATATGCAAAAGAACATGAGCAAAGGGAGGATTCTGCTCTTGAGGAACCATGCTGCAGCCTCTTAAAAGCTTACAGCAGTTACAGGCAAGCAGGTGCCCTCTATCTGCTTTGTACCACAATACCCATAACCAGAGGTTTTAACAGCAGACTTAAGTTTGAAGCCTCAGGTTTGCAACAGAGATGTAAATGCCTAAAATTTAAAAGGCATACACCATACATGATTCGGAGTTACCTGCCTACCCGCCTAGCTGAACCCTGAGTTGCTTTCTTAACTCAAATACGGCTGCCTACTTCGTATGTGGTGGAATGTTACTTAAGTTCAGTCTATCACAGCTAGAACCCCTGGGCTGTAAAGTTTTTTTAAAAACTATCTCAACTGAATGAGGTACCTCAACCTTGGAACTGCAGCTGTAAAAGTTCTCTTTGGAATTATTCCAAAGCAGAAAATACAAGCACGCACAAAGCATTCCTTCAGCTGCACACACCCGCACGTAGAATAAAAATGAAAATAATTATGAAAATGCTAACCTGGTAGCTTGTAAGAAATACAAAATGCATGCTGCAAGTAGAGGGAGAAATAACAAGGATATTGTAGCTCAGTTGTAATGTTGTTAGCGCTATTAACTTTGTTGAGAATGTCTATAGGCTTCTTTTCAATTAAAAACTCTCACAAAGCAGTTTGTAAATTAAAAATGCAAAACACTGAGTCAGTGCAATTAAAACAACAAATGAAATAACATCCATTCCAAAGATGTGGGGCCACCACAGAAAAGGCTCTAGGTCTTGGGCATATCATTCTACTGCTCTTATGGTATATGAAAAAACAAGTTCTCAGATTCTAACTTTAACGTGGGGGAGTTGGGCGGTGATATAAATTTGATTTATAAATAAATAAATAAATAAATAAATGTTTGAGTGAATTCATACAGCATCTTATCTCTACAATCGATTTTTACAATTGATTTTTAGAAATCAATAACATTGTCAGTTATAGATTTTGGCTGCCTTGCTCATCTTCTCTTCATTCAGTAGAGTAATGATAAGCTTCACAGGGTAGAGAACCAAGAATCTACTTTATAAATCTAAGACATTTTAGACTAGAACAGGATTCAGCCATAACTGACTTTCATACTTTAGAAAGGATACTCCAATTTCATTCTGGGGTTAGTTGTGCCCTAAGTACTTCAGGGTGGAATTGATCTACATGATGAATTTCTATTCTACTTGAACAATTCAGAACCTGCCATAATCAGTTACAGGATACTGGATGAAACAGGTTTGTGTCTTTGGTACTAAGACCTTACTACGTCAATGACTGGAATTTCTGCCATCCCATTCTACCCAGAACTTGGTTCGCTATAAGAAAGAGGAACTTTGCTTCTTAAAAAAAGGAGTGGGGAAGGGCTGTGTATGTTATTTTACAGAGCCTTGGAAATGGGGTGGAGGTGAGCAGTTATCTCAGTGATCGGAAAGACCAAAGTGGTGAGAGTGAACGTTGCACGGCTTGCATTCTGTGCATTCAACTACTGGGTAGCTTGGGCTGAAAAATGATGGGCGAAAGGATCTGTCTCCAAACTCCAGCGTTGTAAGCAGATGGATGATACCACACTGGTCATGTTTTCAGTCTGAGAGGGTGAGGAAATGCAGGCTGGATCTGGAAGGAGTTCCTGACGGGATGGATTGTGGTTGTGGCTAAGCTCACTCTAACTCAGCCCAAACTAACTCACAAGGTTGTTGTTGTTGCACTGAAGAAATGGAGAAGGAAGTGTCCTTGATCTCCCAGAAGAAAGTTGCAATGTAAACCTAAGAAGTGACTGCATTACAAACTATCATAGCTCTCCAGCACAAGCAGTAGTTTTGTAAGTATATGGGGGTATAATAAATAAGGCACCAGTGTGTATTTAGCATGGTGGTACAGACTTTTTTTGAGTTCCATAATTCCCTGCTGCCTACCTAAAACTTAATCAAATTCTTATTTAGGTCACAGAATGAACCACAATTTCAACAATAATAAATACTTGTTATGCCCAAAATGATGCTTTCCTTTTCTTTTCCCAAGTATTCAACTAATGCTTCCTTTGTTTCCTAAATATTCCACATCAGGACCATGCTTTAACCCTGAAGCGGTTTCACCACTGGCTTTTTGCAAAGCTTACATTTATTCTTGGAGAGAAAGTAAAATGCATGAAGTTGTCTTTCCTCCCGCACCATTAGAAATGCCACGGTTTTACAAGGGATTAATAGGGTGAGCAAAGATCAGATGCCAGATTTCTACGGACCTGCAACTGAAATCCACTTGAGCTGGACAAGAAATTGGGAAGGTTGTAAAATAGGGGTACTTTCTTATTTTTAAAAGAGGACAAGGGTCTTCTTATAATTTCCTCCCTGTCTCTTCACAGAATCATAGTTAATCAGGATGGTATAAACATAACAGTATGGTTTTAAAAACAGGGTCAGCCAAATAGCAAAAACAACTGATACGGAATTTGGTAAACCGGCAGACTGTCAGAATAAAAATGTTTTTCATCCACTAGTGAAACACGGAGGGGGAGCAACTCAACCTCACGGGACAATTAATTTTGTAATTCAGTCATGATCACCGAGAAGGCCGGTTTTTGTGTCCCTGTGGAGAATCTGGTTCTGGGGGGCATTTACAGACTTAATCGTTGTTTATCTGTCAGGATTTTCTCCTGCCCCTCCCCTGAGGCTTCTGAGTGAGGAGGGCCACCTCTGACAATTGTGGTGCAGCATTTGGACCACATATCAATCATCTGAGGGAGAGGTGATGCTGGAGGAGAAGGCATCTACTTCCCGATTATACATACAACCCTAAATGCACATAATGGTGGACTTTTAATGGTTGTAAAGATCCAGTGAAATGGCTGTGCCAAAAAATGTCTGATTCCAACGTCTGTTCTTCCTAATGTCTAAGAATAGTTTTGGGGGAAAGATGGGAACAGCAGGAGAGAGAAGACATCTCTGAGGGGAAAAAGAAGGGCGGGGGGAGAGCAGAACCTGAAAAATAGCCTGTGAGGGAAAAAGGGGCTTGACACTCTGTGAGCATCAGAAGACCACAAGTAAAAATGTGCCTGTGGGGAAGTTTATTGGTGCAAGATTCTATACAGAGTTTGAAGGGAAACCTGGATGGATCTTTCTGGCACACTTCCAACCAACCCCACATAAGGTTTATATGTATGGATCATTTTGCCTTTTATCTCAG